CAGCCCCTCCAACATTTGTTATTTCCAGTGTTTTTGATTCGTGCCAGTAATGCCGGGGTGAGATAGTATCTCATTGTGGTTTTAGTTTGCATTTCTCTAATGTTTGCCGATACTTTTGTAAAACAATTCTTTTGATTTAAAAAAGAAATCTATCCCTTGCACAAGTATTTGGACAGAATGAATGGTCCTACTGAACGTATAGGTTTGTGGATAAGGAAGCCCTATTTCTGTTATTTGCTCCAGTGACATGGCCAGAGTAATTGACAGGGCTTGTGTATTGGTAAGTAGGGGTTTGACATTTGAGATGGAGAGAGTTGCCATGATTCAGAGACAAAGCTGTGTAAAAAGTAGTGGAAATACCTAAGTAATAGAATTGCCTAAGTTATATTATTTTCGAACATTCTCAGTCTATTTTACGAGAATATTATATTGCTTAAATCCTATTTTTGAACTGAATTGTTGATTGCTGCAAAACAGGCTCTTTATCTTGTTAATAAATAGCCTAAAAAAATAACGCCAACAGAGAAGTCAAACTATTGTTCTTTTTGTGCAATTTCAGAGGAAGAGGAATAGCTCATGGTGGTGTGGCTTAATAACCAAAACATCATCTCTAGATAGTCAGAGAAGGCTGTAGGGCATGGGGGATGGGGTTGACTTCAGATTGCCTCTTTTTTTCTTCTGAATATCCAAGGGGTAAAGGGTGCTCACAGTGTGATATCACAGCTGAGGAAGTCTTGGGGTTTGGATATGTAGCCTTGCATTTGGGCTCTGGAGGTCTGTTGTGGTGAGCAGCATGTAATGCATATTTCTCAATGCCTGGTTGGAGTGTCCTTCCACTCCATAACCAGTGTGAAGGGGCTTGGGCTTTTGGTTCCTGGGATTCCAGGTTTGTCCAAAAAATAAGAAAGAGGCAAGAGGTCCAGTTGGTCCATTTATTAAAGTGAGAATTTACAAAACTAATACTTTTGAGTATCCACAGCAATGAGAATGTAAGTTGGAGGCTAAGCTTGGGACAAGGAGTTGCTGAGACTAAGTCAAGTGATCTGTGTGTCTAATACCAGAAAGTTACTCAATGTTTTCAACACTGCCCTTGAACTAGAATGTAAGCTCCTAGTGGCCAGGGACTGTATCTGTTTGTTGATCATTTGCAACCACCAAAAATGGTAATGATAGGAGCAATAAAAGTTTATTGGTTCAGTAATTGAATTAAATAATTGGTGTTATTTGGCAATTATATAAAGATGGAAGTGTGATATGTGATTTTATAAAGGTATCTTGAAGCAAATTCCATGGTCAAGATTTCCCTAAATGTGTTCTGTGGGACACTAGTCTCTCAAGATGCTCTATGAGAACAGGATTTACATGATTTAAACAGGTTTGGAGAACTCTGCATACTATGCACCCTTCTTAGAGTCGTATTATACATTAACATATTAAAGTTTCTGAGATGTACTTTGGAAAAGAAAGCTGTTGAACTGTGCTTAGTCTAGAGATTCCCGCCACATATTGGACAAGAGAAGCTTCCCCACATTTTTTTTAAATAGAGACCTGTTACTGCCATTTGAGTCCACTTTGGGAAATGCTTCAACTCATGCTGAAAGTTAATATCCTTAGAGTTGAGGGGCATCTCTAATTTTTTCCTGTTTTCCATTTAGTATATCAACTCAATATATTCTAGATTCTCAGAAAACAGGATTCTAGAAGTAGACATTAATATATGAACTTAAACTTGGTATCATGGCAAGCACAATAAAAATAAAAAATGAAAGTTGTTCGGCTAACGAAAAAAATTATCTCACAGACATGGAAATTACTCTAGGAAGTATAAGCCCTGTATGTGGGAATGGGTTTTGGGGGGTGGAGATATGTAGGATGGTTAGAGGGAGAATGGGAGAGGTTAGAGAATTCCTAAAGGAAAAAAAACTGAGGGTCATTTGAAAAATGACTTAATCTTTATTGTCCTTTAGGATGCTTAAAGCTTATTTTAAATTGGTTTGATTTACAAACTTGTTCACTTTTTAATTAACTTCTTAGTGTATGAGGAGCCCTGGTAGTACAGTGGCTAAGAGCCACAGCAAGCTACAGTTGCTAACCAAAGGTTGGTGGTTCAAATCCACCAGCCACTCTTTGGAAACCCTATGGGGCAATCCTGCCCTGTCCTATAGGGTCAATATGAGTTGGAATCGACTCAATTACAGCGGTGTTTTTTTTTTTTTTTTTTGGTTTCTTAGGGTATGACATGAATTAAAAATCTTCATTGAAATACATACAAGTAATTTTAACAGTATACACAAGGCATATGTTGGGGCAAGTGTCTATCAAAAAAGTCAAGAGGAGAATGAAGACAATTTCATAGATGACTGTAAGTCAGTATCAAAAGTTCTTTTACTGAATCTCAAAAGATGAGGATAGGGTTTTGAAACTGCCTGAAAGTGATGATTGAGACAAGTCATTATCTCTCCTCCATGGTGCTTTCATGGAAGGAAAGCTGGACTGAGTCAGATACTGACCTCTAACATGAATCCACTGCTAATTTTGAGCTTAACTGGAACCCATCACTTAATGTATCCATTTCCTTCTGTGTAAAATGTGGGGGTTAGACAAGATAATTTGTAAGTTTTCAACCAGTTCTCATATTCCGCAACTTTATCCTTTGGACCAGTGTTGTTCAATAGAAATATAATGTAAACTACGTCTGTCCTTTCAAATTTTCTAGTAGCCACATTAAAAAAGGTATAAAGACAGGTTAAATTAATTTTAATGATGTATTTTATTTAGCTTAATTAATCCAAAATATTACCATATGATGATGTAATTAATGAATGAGATATTTTATATTCTATTTTTAGTACAAAGTCTTTGAAATTGATCTGCATTTTACACCTACAGCACATCTCAGTTCAGACCAGCCACATTTCAAGTGCTCAATAACCACTTGTATCTAGTGACTATGGTACTGGGCAGCACTGCTTTAGCCCTAGAGAATTAGAAAGCCAAACCTTTCATCACTATTTAATACTCTGGAAAAACTTTACTTTTAAGTGTTAGTTATTTTATTATATTCTACTCAATGTCTAGTTACGTTCATTATCTTCAAGCAGGTTCTCATTAAATGACTGTTAGTTTTTTCTCACCTCTTCTCTGTTTATCACTGCAAAACAATTTTCTTTCAGTGCAAACTCGTTAGTTATGCCACACTATCTTTGATGGATTTGTAACTTATCATTGGTGAGAATGACAAACTTAACTGAATCTACTTGTATCCTAATTTAGCATCTGAACCCATGCTACCACGGATATCTAAAGGAAGTATATGAATCTATGCCAGTTAACTTTCAAAATTTATTGTTTTCTAACTTCTATTATTGCAGCTAATTTTGGTGGCACGTTAAAAAAAAGTTGGAACCTTTGACTTTATTTATGTATTATGCATACCTAGGTATTTAATACATAAAAGCCGTACTTATAGTTGTGCGTGAAATGAAATGCGTACGTGATGCATATTTGAAGTCATAATTATGTGCTTAGGAATTGGGATTTCTAAACTGATGTGTCCAGCACTAAAGCCCCTTCTTATTAATACTATATATTTTTCTGTGCTCTTATAATATATTCATATTTAGAATAATGATGGTCCCTTCTTAGAGGAAAAATAAATATCTAGTTACTACCCCAACATTCCCTGAGAAGCCTTCACTATTTATTTCCATATACATATCATTTAAAATAGAGTAATGCCTAAAATGTGTTTTGGGGGCAATACTTCCAAGTCTTAAAAACAGTCCCTTCTAAGAGGAAAAATGAATATCAGGTTACTAACCCAGTAAAACCTGAGATGCTTTTGCTATATATGTTCAGATACATATGGTTTAAAATAAAGTACCCCCTAAAATGTGTTTTGAGTGTCACATTTGGGAGGAAAAATGTGTGCAGGTGACCAGAACTCTGATTTTAGGGACACAAAAGTAAATCAGGACTGAAGGATCATCAGATGTGTGTGTCTGTATATGAGAGAGACTGTTCTGGAACAGCCTATGTCATGGATTTCAGAGCAGGCATGGTAAATCATCATAAGCTGAGGACCACCACTGTGTTTGTAGAGCAAAAATCCAGCCTTTCTTTGCTGGATAATAAATGATTGCAGGGGAAGGAGTCAGACATTTCAGACTGGCCAAAGACAAACTATCTTTGAGCCCAGTCTTCTTAATTCACCTGTACACACCCCACATTATTACTCAGGTGCTAAGCAGAAGTGCTTTTTGTCTTCAAGGCTGAAAGACCCTTTAGTTTAAATTATGAACCTTCTCTGGTTTTCTTTGAGAAAGTAAAATAAATACTGTAGTGGTTACTAGTTGTAAAAAGTTGTTAAAATACACAAGTTCTGCCCCATTTCCAGTGAAATGCTGTGACTTAAGAATGCCTGTTTATTGTTACTTGGTGTGCAGCTGAACTATGCAGGTAGATGCAATTGGATTCTCTTTCTCATTCTTCTATGCATTTCATTATCACTTATGAGCTGTTTCAAAAGGCTAGAGTTGAAACTGCCCAAGAGTAAAGTACTAAATAACGTTTAGAAAATTGCAGAGTACATGGGATGGGGTGAGGAGGGTTGGAGGATAGAAGTAAGTTCTCAACTTTTTTTTTTTTTTTATTACTAAAAAAAAAATAAGTTTCCAAAATGGGGTTGCTACAAGCCAGATGGGGAAAAAATGTTGTAATATTATGCCAAATAAACATGTAGAAATACTAAAGCATGGTCCGAGTGCTGATTGTGTTGTATTAATAACTCACTTCCATTATCTGTCATGTTAGATTTCATGCCCAGTCCACGACACGCTGGCAGGCTGGAGGTATTATTAAGATTACAGGAGTGGCCATCTTTCATTGAACTACTAGACTGGACAGTTGTTGAGCAAAACAGACTGTAACTTGGATTTTAATTAATTGGACATCTGAGAATTGTGACAACACGTTTGAAGTAATGATTTATGGAAGAAAATTTTCACCAACCCCGTATTGAGCAGGTTTTTTTCCTTAATGCTAATTATACTAGGCACACGGATACATGTATAAAATAAAAGTTTAAGGAGCACATGCTAAGTGTCACTTGAAAGATTTAAAAACCCAAACACTGAGCTTTTGTTGGAATTACTACTGCTGTTAATTATCTATGGGGTTATATATTTATTAGTATTAATAACAGGTAAAATATGGGTTTATTTATGTTCTACTTAATTAAACTTAATTAATTACATTTAAAGTAACCATGTACAATTTCTCCCCTCTCCAATAATTGCTATTAACTGGTAAAAGTAGAAATTATTTTGAAGCAAAAGGACTTAATCTTTGAATGTACCTCTGGTTTGTGAGATCTCTGACAATGTTAAAAACTTGTGACATTCTCTTTTAATAATAAACTTTTTATTGGATTAGTACAGTATGAAAATGAAGATGTAAATTGGCATTTACAAACTTGTTTCAGATGTTGTTTAATATTTATAAGTTATTGATAATATTATTCTGCTTGTTTCTTGTTCGGACTCTAATATTTTTCTATTAACAATATCCTTGAGGTAGTTGCTAATTTATTTAATGCCTTCTTCATCTTATACTGAGGCACAAGCATCATTCACTTCATAAGTATGTCATAAGGCTCAAGATCATGTTGCTATCTTGCTTATATTTCTATGTTCAAAGATTTTAAATGGTGAAATTTGTTTCAAACAGGCTAAACATGCGATATATTACTTAAGTACATTGTATCAACTCACATTTCCGCCTCCCTTTGTAAAGAGATTCTTCACTTCAATGACTTAGTTTCTTTGTTAATGAAGATAACTTTTCTCACTCCCACTAGTTTTGAAAGGATTATGGGAACATTTTGAAGGGGGAAATGAGTAACCACCTCTACTTATACCCACAGGTAGTCCCTAAGAACTAAAAAGAACAATCTGGGTCAGGGGAGAGAAGTTTTTTGTTTTGTTTTGATTTGGTTTTGGTTTGTTTTTTTGTTGTCCTGAGAAGCATTCCTAGAGAAATGAACCTAGAGAAGAGAACATGATTTGGTGTGTCTAGCAAGTATAAACCCGTTGCCATCAAGTCGATTCCTACTCGTAGTGACCCTAGAGGACAAAGTAGAACTGCCCCATAGGGTTTCCAAGGAGTGGCTGGTGGATTCAAACTGCCAACCTTTTGGTTAGCAGCTGAGCTTTTAACCACTGTGCCACCAGGGCTCCCTAGCACCTATAGCAGGATTATTATGAAAAGGACAGAAAAAAAAAAAAAAAAGCCAGTAAAGTATAATTATATTTCAATGTGGAAATTAGAATTGATTCACACAAACTGCGAGGGTATTACTCAGCTGCAAGAAGTGGACCTAATTTTAGGACACCCAGTTTCGTTTCATTTTTTGTTGGTTTGGCTTCTGAAGTAATGCTCACTGTGCTTGATAAATGATAGGAGTTGGGATGGACTGGGAGAAAGAGAGAAACATGAAATTTATCATTGCTAACAAGGCCATGTATAAATTGTGTGGTTTTAGAAATACAAAATGTGTGTTTTCTCGTGTATTAAATAGGGAAGCCGCAGTCCCCTTTTCATGCTGATGACGCAGCTGGCCACTTGGAGCCCCACCCTTCAGACTGGGAGGCAGGTGCTTCTCTCCTTGGACTGTCTGGCTGAGGGAGAAAGGAAGTCCCGGAACCATCTGCAGTGTCTCCTCGTACCCTGTTTGCTCTTCTTAGGTAAACCAGGCCCAGCTAAAGTGTCAACCCCTTCAGGAAGTCTCCCTTACGCTCCCTCAACCTCCACTCCAAGCTGAAAGCAATTTCCTTCCTCTCAACTCCCATAACAATCTCTCTGAGTCCACTGTGGCAATCACCTTTTTTTGCTACTTACCCACATGTCTTTCCTCCTCTACTCACGGCAGACTCTGGTGCTGGTTCATTCTTGCCCTGTAGCATGCTGGGCCAGGATCCTGCATGTGGGCCGGCATCAGGACATGACCATGAGAACTGGCCATCCTCAGGATCCCCATCCACCTTTACCCTGGTTGCTCTTGAGCAAGGTCTCCTGAAAAAGTACAGAGGCTGAGGCAGGAATGTGGTTCTGTGATACAAGTGGGGTGGGATTAGGGCAGAGCTTGTATTTATGTGGGTTTGGGATTTCAGAGAAATTTGGTGTCTTTTGAAGGAAGCCTTCTCTTGCCAGTGAATTAGGACCAATTAGTTTCCTTTTCCATTTTTATTCCTTCTCTTTTAATACAGTGGTGATAATTTCATACCTAATATTAAAAAAATCTATTAGTATATATATATTTTCAATCAATTAATCAATCTTATTAAGGGAAATATTTTACCAGGAGGTTTCTAAGCCTACTTAGGATGCTTGCTAACTAGAAGGCATATTCAGGTGGTCTAAGACTCAAGTCCTGTTCTCATTTCTATGTCTTGAGAAACCATTCTGACCTTACTTTGCAGTGCTCTTAGGTTAGATACTGTGTAAGCTGCACAGAGCCAAAGGGGACTGTATCACTGGGTTATCTAGCAGTTCCCTGTAATTTCATAGCAACCAAAGTTACAAGAGGTGGTTGACCTTCTTCTCTCAGCAGGGCAGGGACATGGC